TAAGGCGTAGCAAGTAAGTTTAAACGGGTTAAACATAGAAAAAGCCGAAAAAAATAAAATCCTTTAATCTCCTCTTTTGTCTTTTTTCCACCCTTTCCCCTCTTTCCAGCATCTGTTCTCCAAGGTAAAAACTAAAATTTTTAAAAACCCGTTTATTTCTTCACATTCCCCATTTTGTTTTTTTTATGTTTTTTTTTTACAATATTTCTTATTTATATATCACAAAGTTTCAGTTTTTTCCTTTTTGAAACAAATGAACTAGGGGCAGTTAGCCTCACAAAAAACTCAGGTAAGCATGGGGAAAATAAAGGGCAAGGGGATAATTTTTTACCTTTGGGAGTGGCTGCCACCACTCTCACATAATGACTTATTTTATTCATTCTAGAGTATATATCATGTTTCCATGTTATATATATTGTTTATTAGATCAGTTGTGATAGATAAATAAGCCGTATAGTTGATATTAGCATTATGTTGAAATATTTTCTCCTACCTCCCAAGAGCCAGGAATTCCACTGGAATGGATTACTGGCATTTCATTTAATTTCAGTGAGGAAAATTGATTTGATATACAAGCTTGTTGAGTTACGAGTTAGGTCACAGAGTGATAATTATTGTTACCTCGGGAGTGGCCCCCACCTCTCGTCACATAATGACTTATTTTATTCATTCTACAGTATATATTATGTTTCCATGTTATATACACCTACCATCCGACTTACGACTGAGTTCGGTTCCGAGAAACCAGACGTAAGTCGAAATGGTCATAAGTTGAACTTTACTACTGAATATCAACAAAACATTTTTGTAATGACTTTATTTTATTGTTTTATTTTGGTATTTCATGTTTTACTTTACTTTTTATGTTGTTAGTACTGTATTTTATACTGTAAGGTTTAGGATAAACACTGTGTACAACACAAATTGTTGTTTATTTCCTAGAAATTTGGCATAAAAAACATGGTTGTAAGCCGAGTGGTCGTAAGTCGAGCAGGTCGTAAGTCGGATGGTAGGTGTATATTGTTTATTATGTCATATTAGATCAATTGTGATAGATAAATAAGCCGTAGAGTTGATATTAGTGTTGTATTGAAATATTTTCTCCTGTCTCCCGAGAGCCAGGAATTCCGCTGGAATGGATGAATGGTATTACAGTTAATTTCAGTGAGGAAAATTGATTTGATATACGAGCAAGTTGAGTATGAGTTAAGTCACAGAACTCGTAAGTCAAGGTATCACTGTACTACTATATATATAGAGAGCCGCTTGTTATGCTGAGCATTTCGGGCAGGTTAGGTCAGTTTTGTCCCAGGATGCGACCCAGACCAGTCGACTAACACCCAGGTAACTATTTTGAACTGATGGTTGAACAGGTGTCTTATGGAAACACATCCCTAAAGTTTTCTAGCTGTACCGGAGGAGATTTGAACCCCAAACCTCAGTGTCTGAGATGAATGAGCTAGCAATCAAGCTACAGGACACCACATAAGAAAGAGATGATAGTGAATGTTATGAATGAAAAGAAACTGGATGTCTTAACTCTAAGTGAAACAAAGGTGAAAGGGATAGGAATTTCATTGGGAAGAAATAAATGGGTTTTTGTCAGGAGTATCTGAGAGAGTTGAAGCTGAGAAAGGAGTAATGGATGAATACTTAAATTATACTACATTTGATACAATTTATTTTTAAATTAAAATTAATAAAATGTATCCAAGCACTGTAATATAGTTCATAAAAAAAATTAGGGCAGTGGAAACAAGCTGATGGCCATAAAGCGGGGGAAAGGGGTGAGGGCCAGCCGAAACCGACTAGGCAGGTTCACTTAAACACCACAAATTCACTGAACTTATAAAATTTTTGCCACAGCATTACCATTTTTGTAGAGGGGGTTTGAGAATGTAATGGGGGCAGGGAAAATACACTTTATAGGTACGTGGACCCTCGCCAACAACGCATCTCGAAACTTTAAAATCCGCCTAGCAAACTTTTTAAAACGAAAAAATTTTGCCTCCTAGCGTTAAAAAAAATAGCCCAATGCGATTTGTTCCATTCGAGACGCGTCCACTGTGCCTGAGCACGCCCATTTGCCCCCATGGGTGCCAGTGTTTACAAGCCAGCCACTGGGTCCACCAAAACATACAATCAGAACTTTTCATATTACACAGCATTTTTAGTGATTGCACCTCAAATAATAACCATGGGCCCCAAGAAAGTTTCTAGTGCCAACCCTGAAAAAAAGTGGAATTATAGGAAATTAAGAAAGGTTTGAAGGTTTGGGGCTAACCCTGAATCCCATGCCATTGTGGAATCCTTTGTGCCTACTTTAAAGATTAAGGAAAAGTGTGCAAAGTGGGTGAAAAGGGAAACCTTTTTGGATGAAAATCACCCCAACACAGCTATTGCAAGCCATCTGGGACTATTTCAATACAATTGGGTTTTGGGCCCCTTTTAACAAATCTTAAAGGAACGGGAGGGACAAAATCTATGGATAATTTTTTGTGCAACAGAGGTCCGTGACTTTTAAACTGGGCCTAGGGGATTAAAAGAAAAGGGGAAGTAACCCCGGAAAAGGGCTTGACACCCCAATTTCCCAAGGAGGGGGTTCCTCAAAAATTTAAAAACCCCCCCACACCCCCTCCTCCCATCCCTCAATCATCACCAATCTTCAAATAAATAATGCATGTAATTGTACATGTCTTCTTCAGTTTGTGTGTATTAAAAATTAAAATTTTATGTGGTAAAAATTTTTTTTTTTTATACTTTGGGGGGCAGGGAAAGGATTTAATTTGATTTCCATTTTTTCTTTTGGGAAAATTAATTCGGGTAATGAAATTTCGCCTAACTTGACTCTCAGGAATGGATTAATATCATTAGGCAGGGGCCACTGTTTATAGAAGTAAGATTAGGGAAAAAGAAGACCCCCTTTTAAAATTTCTCAAAACTTTTCTTTCATACATTGGAAGGGAAAAATCTTTAAATTTATTCTTCTGTTTTTATGCAAGAATATACTACAGAAATTCCGAAAAAAAAAAACATATAGGGGAGGAAAAAATAAGTTTTGCATGTCAAAGTCACTAGGACAGGGGTTTTCAGAAAATAAAAGATTAACCCCCTTTTAGGTTTTTGGGCTACGAGGCTTACGCACCAGGGTTTTTGAGGGACTAGTACCCTAAATTTTGCGCCCCCAAATCTATGAGAAAAGCAGGAGGCCTACTATGAAAGAATGGGGCCCCTGGGGTCAGTGGCCCCAGTATAAAAAAAATCCTGCAGCACACAGTGCGTAATGAGAAAAAAAAATGACAGTGTTTTTGGATTAAAACAGCGACTTTGCACTGTATTTTCGTGTGGCATTTATTGTTGTATTCTGGTTTTCCTTTTCTCATTTTATAGAATGGAAGACATGTTACAGAAATTGGGATGATTTTGACTGGTTTTACAATGAAAAGTACCCTGAAATTGAGCTCAAAGTAGCAGAAATGTTCGATTTTTACCAAAGTTCAAAAGTAAACAAATCATGCTAAGCATCCAATATATGTCAACTGGTGAGTCTAATATTCTTTCACAAGTGCACCGATATTATTTATACCATTTCTACACTAATGCAGTAGTCTGCATAACAGTAAATCTTCTATTTTTTGTGAGAATAAAAATTCAAAGTGGAAAGCAGAGGAATGTAAGAGGGGCATGGAGACGTGACTAATGAACAGAGGAAATGTTATTTTAGTGCCAGGAATATCTTTCTTGTTTATTCTGGACCCATTTGAAAATTGGCATCTTTTGAAATTTGTGTGAAATTGGCAAAATTGCTAAATTCTGACCATTGTATTGGATAGTTGAAATCGGTAAATAAGTGGTTTCTTGTACTCATTCGATAGAAAAAATGGAGTTCTAGCGAAATAGTTATGATTTTTGTCAACTAGTACACTGGAATTGGCTGAAAATAGGGCTCAAAGTGGGCAAAATCGCCGAGACTGCTAACTTCGCGAGAGCATAATTCCATAAGTTTTCCATCAAATTTCATACTTTTGGTGTCATTATGATCGGGAAAAGATTCTCTATTTTTTTTTCATAAATTTTTTTTTTTTTTTTTTTAAATTTGGGCGACCCTGAGAACAAGTCTGGGAGAGGGTCTGGGGACCCTGAAAGGGTTAAATCCAAACAAATCCCTGGACCCTGATGGACTGTTCTCAAGGGTTATGAAGGAATATGAGGAAGAACTTGGCAAACCTTTAGCTAGTCTTTTCAGCCTATCATTACACATTCACATAGTGCTAGATAAGTGGAAAAATGCAAATGTGATACCCATCTACAAAGCAGAAGACAGGTTCTTACCTTAGTTGCTTATAACTTACCCTCCTTTAGTTTATAAACCTTTCATCTTTCTCTTATTGGCTGATGCCGTTCTCCTTATACCCCATCTACCTCTACTCTCACTGTAGCTACAAGTAAATATTGATATATCTGTTGCCTATCTAATAACATGCACAACCAGAATTGTATCCATCAGCTTTTTATCCACCAATACATAGTTCAACAAACTACTCAGAGGCCTCCCATTATAATTAACCCTTGGTACCCTAAACTTGCATACCCTGCATTCACTCTCTGGAACCCTTGACCTAATCCCATTTATTTCTCCCCAATGAAATTATTGTACCCCCTTCAGCTTTGTTTTGCTTAGAACCAGGATAACCAACTTCTTTTCATTCATAACATTGACAGTCATCTCTTTCTTATCATCTGCACTACATCCATGCACATTCAAACATCCCAACTTTATATAAAGTTTTTATTTTTTTTATTAATTTTGTGCTTTCTTGTATGCTGATTTTTAAAGGGGGATTATTTGCATCAGATGTTAATTTTGTATGGTTTATGATGCTTATTTTTTCCATGTTTTAGGGGGGCATTAATATAAATTAGATTTCATTGCTTTAGACTTCGAAATACAGGGTAGTGGCAATCTTCTAGCACTTTTGCATTTTTGTTTTACGTTTCAGGTTCAAGAATTCTGGCTCAAGGAGACAACATTCCAAAAGATCAGATATATCCTATGAGATTGAAAGGTATAAGCATTTGCTTTTCAATGCTCAAGGCAGCCTTGTGTGGCAACTACGTCAACTTTGGAGTCTTCCGCCTGTATGGTGATGATGCCTTGGACTCTGCGTTGCACACATTCGTTAAGCTGCTGTTGTCTATACCACAATCTGATCTCTTGGTTAGTAGCTTTTCTGTGCTGATAATTTTTTTGAAAATTCACTTTCAAATGGATATAAAAGCCTGAAAACATGTTTACACTATCATTTATTAAGTGAACAATAGAGCTAAGTCGAAAAAATGCATATACAGTACATACATTACTTACCTTAAATATTTTTGTCCTTAGCTTATAGTGAGTGTAAATATATTGTAGGAAGTCTGAATAAATGAATGGGTATAATTGAAAACTGCTGCATTAGTGAAATGCTGTAAAGCAAAGCACTGTAAAGCAGGGCCCTCCTGTGCTGTACTTTTTTTTTTTTTTTAACAAGTCGGCTGTCTCCCACCGAGGCAGGATGACCCAAAAAGAAAGAAAATCCCCAAAAAGAAAATACTTTCCTCATCATTCAACACTTTCACCTCACTCACACATAATAAATGTTTTTGCAGAGGTGCTCAGAACACAACAGTCTAGAAGCATATACGTATCAAGATGCACAACATATCCCTCCAAACTGCCAATATCCTGAACCCCTCCTTTAGAGTGCAGGCATTGTACTTCCCATTTCCAAGACTCAAGTCCGACTATATGAAAATAACCGGTTTCCCTGAAACCCTTCACTAAATATTACCCTGCTCACACTCCAACAGATCGTTAGGTCCCAAATACCATTCATCTCCATTCACTCCTATCGAGCACACTCACGCACGCCTGCTGGAAGTCCAATCCTCTCGCTCACAAAATCTCCCTTACCCCTTCCTTCCAACCTTTTCGAGGACGACCCCTACCCCGCCTTCCTTCCCCTACAGATTTAAATGCTTTCCATGTTATTCTACTTTGATCCATTCTCTCTAAATGACCAAACCACCTCAACAACCCCTCTTCAGCCCTCTGACTAATACAGTACTTTATTAACTCCACACCTTCTCCTAATTTCCACACTCCGAATTTTCTGCATAAGATTTACACCACACATTGCAGTTAGACAGGACATCTCCACTGCCTCCAACTGTCTCCTCGCTGCTGCATTCACAACCCAAGCTTCACACCCATATAAGAGTGGTGGTACTACTATACTTTCATACATTCCCTTCTTTGTCTCCATAGATAACGTTTTTTGTCTCCACATATACCTCAACGCACCACTCACCTTTTTTCCCTCTTCAATTCTATGATTAACCTCATCCTTCATAAATCCATCCGCTGACATGTCAACTCCCAAGTATCTGAAACATTCACTTCTTCCATACTCCTCCCCAATTTGATATCCAATTTTTCTTTATCTAAATCATTTGATACCCTCATCACTTTACTCTTTCCTATGTTCACTTTCAACTTTCTACCTTTACACACACTCCCAAACTTGTCCACTAACTTTTGCAATTTTTCTTTAAAATCTCCCATTAGCACAGTATCATCAGCAAAAAGCAATTGTGTAAATTCCCATTTTGTATTTGATTCCCCATAATTTAATCCCACCCCTCTCCCAAACACCCTAGCATTTACTTCTTTTACAACCCCATCTATAAATATATTAAACAACCATGGTGACATTGCACATCCCTGTCTAAAACCTACTTTTACCAGGAAGTAGTCTCTCTCTCTTTTACACACCCTAACTTGAGCCTCACTATCCTCATAAAAACTCTTTACAACATTTAGTAACTTACCACCTATTCCATATACTTGCATAACTGAAACCGCAGAAACTGAATTCACGGATACAGGGGTTCTACTTTACTTTTAAAATGAAAAAAAAAAAAATGCAGAGAATAGAATATTCTCAAGTTATGCTAGGTCAGTGAGAGAACTTGTATCTGAGGTAAGAGACAAATGTAAGAAGTTAATACAGTGTTATTTATAAATTATTGTGCATTTACCTATATAAAAGTAATAGCTTGAAGGTATTGGCTTGATCCACAGAGTATGGCATTAAGGATTCATGAAACAATTAACTAATAGGTTTAGAGAAAAATTATTAGTACTAGTAGTACTACTAATATTATTACTGCTACTAATATTACTGGTATTAATGCTAGTAGTAGTACTAATATTATTAGTACTAGTAGCACTACTGATATTATTACTACTAATATTACTGGTATTAATGCTACTAGTACTAATAGTACTAGAACTACTAAGACTAATACTACTACTACTGCTGCTGCTTCTACTCCTATTGCTTCTACTACTACTACTACTACTACTACTACTACTACTATTTCTTCTTCATTTGGTAGATGATAAGATAGATATTCCTTCCATTTATTATTGAATAGATTACAGCATTTTTGTAAATTGTTGCATACAGATACTTCTTTTTAACTACAGGTATACCCAAAGTTGTCTCAGACATATTATGTGCTGTTGGAGTGTCTTGCACAGGACCACATGAATTTCTTATCTACCTTAGAACCCAGTGTATTCCTGTATGTCCTCTCCTCTATATCTGAAGGACTCTCAGCTATAGGTAAGTTATTTATACATAATCCTTGTACATCATCTGACTGGGGTACATATAGTGGGGTAGGAGTAGCCATGTCATAAACATTTCTACAATAGACGGTGGAATTGTCATTGAAAAATTTTAGAAATGGAAGGAAATACTTTATTGGGATTGGGGGGCATTTGCCAAAAAAAAAAAAAAAATATGTTGGCCCGATGTGAGAGATTTTTAATTGCTGGAGTGGAATTTTTGAATATTTTAATTTAAAGAGTGTCATCTAATGTAGGTAATCTAGAAAATGCATTAATTCATTTACATTTTTTTTTACTGAAATCAGCATTGCTGTGTTTACAACAAAACCAAAGTTTCAGTTAGCCTGCATGGCTAATAACTATGGTTCTGAACACCTGTTTCTTGGCTGAGTGACTGATTACCTCATCTTCAATCTCTTCAGTTTTCTGTTTTGTCCCTGTATGGTATTGATAAAACCACTGGTTATCAAAGCATCTACATAATAAAGATACCCAGTTGTTGCACATGTGTCTAATACTGCATCTTGTTGCTATTATGTACCATTGATGTTATAAAATAGTGCCTAGCATATTGCCAGAGGCTTACGTTAGCCAAATAAACTCAGGGGCATTGCTTGACTGGAAAATCTAAAGGTAGCCTCCAGGAATCTCAACAAAGTTATTCTTGGCTTTTTATTCAACATATGTTAGGCCATCATGGAGTATGTAACACCAATATGAAGTCAGCATCTAAAAAAAGCTTTTTAAGAAGCTAAGGGGGGAAAATGTAAAAGTATGCAACAATGTTTGTTCCATAGCTAAGGAATATGAATTACAAGGAAAGGCTATCAGAATTGTCTAGCAACACTGGAAGACAGAAGAACTAAGGGAGACAAGATAACGTATAAAATGCTCAGAAAAATTGATAGGACAGACAGTGATGGACTGTTTGGGAAACATTAAACAGGTACTTGAGGATGCATCTGGAAGTTAGTCATGAATGTCAGGAAGTATTGCTTCAGTCTCAGAATAATCAGAAAGTCGAATGATCTCGAGATGGAGGCTGACTACATACATAGTTTTAATAGTAGATGCAGTAGGGCCCATGAGGCTAGGAGGGAGAGAATATGGCAAGTTGTGAGATGGGGCCAGGAGCTCAGACTCTACCCCTACAACTACAAATAGGTGACTACACACATGCGAGAAACAAACTCTGAGACACTGCTGGAAGTTAGTTCCAGATGTGCCACAGGGATGTTAGGAAGTATTCCTTTAGTCTCAGAGTTGTCAGGAAGTGGTGGAGGTAGGCTCCCATACATAGTTTGAAGAGCAGGTATGATAGGGCCTTTGAGGCTAAGAGAGAGTGAATCTGAAGAATAGCAAGTTAAGAGGTAGGGCCAGGACCTGAGAATTGACCCCTGCAACCACAGATAGGCGAGTACATATACACATGCAAAAGCAAAGAAAAAATTACTAAAGAAGTGTTTTTTGTAAAAGGCCTCTGTGTTTGATCATTTGACTGTTTGGCCAGATTCAGCTGTTGCAGGGAGAGCACCACCTACAATACAGTACTTGAATCCTTCTGCAGAACGTAAGTTTTATTACAAGGCAGAAGTAGGCCAGAATTTTCCTTGCAGTAGTGAAAGATTTTAATTAAAGTATGTGTAATTTTTTTTGGCTTGAATAAGGAGAGCTTGTGTATTTACCAATTTCTCAGACATATTTTGCTTTTGGCCTTCAGTAGTTTGTTCCAGTGCTGTTCCTTGAGAGAAGCCTATACCAAATATTGACATCAAGCCCAGGTTTGTGAAGGCCTCGTATTTAATACTAATTTCTTCTTCTTTCAACAAACCGGCCGTTACCCACCGAAGCAGGGTGGCCCAAAAAAGAAAAAGAAAAGCTTCTTTTTTTGACTTTAGTAATGTATATAGAAGAAAGGGTTACTAGCCCCTTGCTCCTGGCATTTTAGTCGCCTCATACGACACACATGGCTTAAGGAGGAAGAGTTCTGTTCCACTTCCCCATGGAGATTAGTACTAATTTTTTTTTTTCAACAAACCGGCTGTATCCCACCAAGGCGGGGTGCCCCCCCCCCCAAAAAAACGAAAGTTCTTTTTTTAAATTTAGTAATTTGTACAGGAGAAGGGGTTACTAGCCCCTTGCTCCCGGCATTTTAGTCGCCTCTTACAACACGCATGGCTTACGGGGGAAGAATTCTGTTCCACTTTCCCATGGAGGTAAGAGGAAATAAACAAGAACAAGAACTAGAAAGAAAATAGAAGAAAACCCAGAGGGGTGTGTAAATATATGCTTGTACATGTACATGGATTGGCGGAGAGCGTGTATAGTCCCTTTATATAAAGGCAAAGGGGACAAAAGAGATTGTAACAATTATAGAGGAATAAGTTTACTGAGTATATCAGGAAAAGTGTACGGTAGGGTTATTATTGAAAGAATTAGAGGTAAGACAGAATGTAGAATTGCGGATGAGCAAGGAGGTTCTAGAGTGGGTAGGGGATGTGTAGATCGAGTGTTTACATTGAAGCATATATGTGAGGAGTATTTAGATAAAGGTAGGGGAGTTTTTATTGCATTTATGGATTTAGAAAAGGCATATGATAGAGTGGATAGGGATGCAATGTGGCAGATGTTGCAAGTATATGGAATAGGTGGTAAGTTACTAAATGCTGTAAAGAGTTTTTATGAGGATAGTGAGACTCAGGTTAGGGTGTGTAGAAGAGAGGAAGACTATTTCCCAGTAAAAGTAGGTCTTAGACAGGGATGTGTAATGTCACCATGGTTGTTTAATATATTTATAGATGGGGTTGTAAAAGAAGTAAGTGCTAGGGTGTTCGGGAGAGGGGTGGGATTAAATTATGGAGAATTAAATACAAAATAGGAAGTGACAGTTACTTTTTGCTGATGATACTGTGCTTGTGGGAGATTCTAAAGAAAAATTGCAAAGGTTAGTGGACGAATTTGGGAGTGTGTGTAAAGGTAGAAAGTTGAAAGTGAACATAGAAAAGAGAAAGGTAATGAGAGTATCAAATGATTTAGATAAAGAAAAACTGGATATCAAATTGGGGAGGAGGAATATGGAAGAAGTGAATGTTTTCAGATATTTGGGAGTTGACGTGTCAGCGGATGGATTTATGAAGGATGAGGTTAATCATAGAATTGATGAAGGAAAAAAGGTGAGTGGTGCATTGAGGTATCTGTGGAGACAAAAAATGTTATCTATGGAGGTAAAGAAGGGAATGTATGAAAGTATAGTAGTACCAGCACTCTTATATGGGTGTGAAGCTTGGGTTATAAATGCTGCAGCGAGGAGGTGGTTGGAAGCAGTGGAGATGTGTCTAAGGGAAATGTGTGGTGTAAATATTATGCAGAAAATATGAAGTATGGAAATTAGGAGAAGGTGTGGAGTTAATAAAAGTATTAGTCAGAAGGCTGAAGAGGGTTTGTTGAGGTGGTTTGGTCATTTAGAGAGAATGGATCAAAGTAGAATGACATGGAGAGCATATAAATCTGTAGGGGAAGGAAGGCGGGGTAGGGGTCGTCCTCGAAAAGGTTGGAGGGAGGGGGTAAAGGAGGTGTTGTGGGCGAAGGGTTTGGACTTCCAGCAAGCGTGCGTGAGCGTGTTAGATAGGAGTGAATGGAGACAAATGGTATTTGGAACTTGACGAGCTGTTGGAGTGTGAGCAGGGTAATATTTAGTGAAGGGATTCAGGGAAACCGGTTATTTTGTATAACCGGACTCGAGTCCGGAAATGGGAAGTACAATGCCTGTACTCTAAAGGAGGGGTTTGAGATATTTGCAGTTTGGAGGGATATATTGTGTATTTTTATACGTATATACTTCTAAACTGTTGTATTCTGGGCACCTCTGCGAAAACAGTGATTATGTGTGATTGAGGTGAAAGTGTTGAATGATGAAAGTACAGTGGACCCCCGCATAACGATTACCTCCGAATGCGACCAATTATGTAAGTGTATTTATGTAAGTGCGTTTCTACGTGTATGTTTGGGGGTCTGAAATGGACTAATCTACTTCACAATATTCCTTATGGGAAAAAATTCGGTCAGTACTGGCACCTGAACATACTACTGGAATGAAAAAAGTTCGTTAACCGGGGGTCCACTGTATTTTCTTTTTGGGGATTTTCTTTCTTTTTGGGTCACCCTGCCTCGGTGGGAGACAGCCGACTTGTTGAAAAAAAAAAAATGTATGTGTAGCATGACCTAAGTGTAAGTAGAAGTAGCAAGACGTACCTGAAATCTTGCATGTTTATGAGACAGAAAAAAGACACCAGCAATCCTACCATTATGTAAAACAATTACAGGTTTCCATTTTACACTCGCTTTGCAGGATGGTAGTATGTCCCTGGGCGGCTGCTGTCTACCAACCTACTACCTACAATTAGTACTAATTTTTTTTTTTCAACAAACCGGCCATATCCCACCAAGGCAGGGTGGCCCCCCAAAAAAACAAAAGTTTCTCTTTTCAAATTCAGTAATTTATACAGGAGAAGGGGTTACTAGCCCCTTGCTCCCGGCATTTTAGTCGCCTCTTACAACACGCATGGGTTACGGAGGAAGAATTTTGCTCCACTTCCCCATGGAGATAAGAGGAAATAAACAAGAACAAGAACTAGAAAGAAAATAGAAGAAAACCCAGAGGGGTGTGTATATATTATACACTTGTACATGTATGTGTAGTGTGACCTAAGTGTAAGTAGAAGTAGCAAGACGTACCTGACGTACCTGAAATCTTGCATGTTCATGAGACAGAAAAAAGGACACCAGTAATCCTACCATCATGTAAAACAATTACAGGCTTTCGTTTTACATTCACTTGGCAGGACAGTAGTACCTCCCTGGGCGGTTGCTGTCTACCAGCCTACTACCTACAATTAGTACTAATTATAAGTATTAAAATATTTGCTTTAAATTAATTTCTAACCATTAGAAAAATATTTTTTCCATCTTTATACTATAGTTAAAGCTGTATTG